AATGCCACATTGTATAAATACAGTTTAACTTTTGATTAATCCTGAAGTGGTCAGGCAGTTGGACTTGTTGATCTCTGTAGGTCCCTTGCAAACGAATTATTCTATTCTATTCTATTCTATTCTATTCTATTCTATTCTATTCTATTCTATTCTATTCTATTCTATTCTATTCTATTCTATTCTATTCTATTCTATTCTATTCTATCCTATCCTATCCTATCCTATCCTATCCTATCCTATCCTATCCTATCCTATCCTATCCTATTCTTTTTTTTTTTCTACATGGCCTTCTCCTTCATTTGAAAGACGCATGTAATCATTTGATGAATTATAATTCCTCTTTTTAAACCATGGATTTCAAGAAAGTCAATCTTGATTGATCTTTCCACTTTTTTATTGAAAAAGGCCTGAAGAAGTACTACTATTCATGAACCAGCATCCATTGTTAAATCATTGTCAATTTCACTAATCATTCTTCAGCATGACAGATGAAAATGCTGGACAAATAGCTCCTGTTCAGATAATTAATGCCTTCATCTACATATTAGAGGAATTATATTTTTACCCACTAAAGCAGGCTAAAAGTACAGTTCTGCAGAACAAGTCAAAATCCATGGAAATACCCTGGAGGCATGGGATGGCTGGATTTTCCACAAAAGAAAATGAAAATCCATAAACTGGGACATATAGATAACATGCATTATTGTGATTATCAGATAAAGACTGCCTGCTGAAAGAAATATGAAACTCAGGGATTATCAACAATATATGTCAAAGTGTTGATTTCTGGCTGGCACTCAACTAACTGAAATGACAGAAGGATCCAAGAAGAAAAAAATGAAATTGGAAACAAGAAAGAATTCAGATTTAAGGTTTTGTTTTTTGAGTGATTTTATATTCTGAGCATCATTAACACTGCCAGACATAACTAAATGCCTTGCACTCCAAGAGGATTAAGGTTTATTAAACACATACATTTGATAATGTAAGCAATGTCTTCCTAGTGTTTTTCCAGCATTCTCTGCTTTCTACCTCCACAGCATGGAAGGTCTGTGGCATTTCGAGCTGCCATATTAATGTATTGAAAAACTGCATGAATGGGAAGCCACATGGCGGAGCATCAGCTCACATTTTAATAGTATGTTGAGTTATCATCTGAACTACAAGTAGGGTAGTGGTAGTGGCTTATACATGCAGGACTGGAACTGGAACAGCCAATCTCCATGAATTTCTGACCTAGTTGAGATGATGCATAAACTAAAGCTTCAGCAGCAAATTCAAATCCAGGAACTATTACATCTACTAGGAACTAATACATGTGAGGAAGACGTGGCATGGATTTTGTTACAATGAGCAAGCACTCCAGCTAAACCATTTCCAGCTGCAATTTAGTGGTAGAGCAGTCCAGAAACCATTCTCCACAGGAGGTTTGTATGCAGTTATCCTGCTTTGGAGGCTAAAACCAAGTGCGTCTCACACAGACGCAGTTTATTCTACGCCTGCAGGCTCCTGAGCCATGTGGACAAATTTAATGTACTAGGGTAGATGCAGATACACCGAGCCAGATGTTCACCCCATGATTCTGGTGATAAACACTCACTATGGCTTCTCCTGCGATGTATGTTTAGGCTTAGGGAGTTCTAAATGTAAACCAGGTGTTTCTTTTTAATTTGTGTTGGTGTATTGGGTCTGGCTGGGATGTTACCTTTCCCTGCAGTAGCCTGTACAGTGCTCTGCTCAGCACTTGTAGCTAGAACAGCAGTGTTATCACACCAGTGTTGTGTCTGCTGCTGAGCAGTGCCGGCACAGCATTGGGCCTCTCTCTAACCCTCCTAGGGGGTGGGCAAAAAAGTGAGAAAAGAAACATCACTAGGGCAGCTGACCTAAACCAACCAAAGGGATATTCCATACCATGTGATGTCACACTCAGCAATGAAGGTGGAAACAGGAAGAAGAGGGGAGGGGTGGGCTCTCATTGTGAAAACATTGGTCTTCTTTCTGAACACCTGCTACGTGTGTTGAGGCCTTGCTTCAAGGATGTGGTCAAGCATCGCTCATTTGTGGGAAGTAGAGAGTAATTTCTTTCCTCTGCACTTCTACATAGCCTTTATTTGTTTTGGTTTGGTTTGGTTATACCCTTTTTTTCCCCTTTCCCCCTCCCTTTCCCCTTTCCTTTTTTTTTTTTCCTCTTTAGTTAAATTGTTTAGTTAATAATAATCTTTCCTTAATTATTATTATTATTATTATTATTTTCCCTTTAATTAAATTGTCCTTATCTCAACCCGTGAGCTGTTCTTTACTTTACTTCTTCCCCTTCTCGTCTAAGGACGGGGGGTGAGAGAGCAGTTGTAGTGTTTAGCTGCCTAGCATAGTAAAACCACCACAGTTGGTTGTTTTAGTTGTTGTTGCAATTAGCTATTTGTATAGTTTTAACAATTATATTAATATTAAATTATATAAAGTAGTAATAATCAGCTATAAAGTATAATAATAGCAAGTTACTTGTAGATGTCCTAGGGAACAGATTCATGTAAGCATTATTTACCTGAATTCTGAAAACTATTCCTGTGTCTAATTAATTGCTCAGATAATAAATGAAAAAGGGCAGACAGACTGTTACCCATTTGCTTATGTAAAAAAAAACAAGTAGTTTGAAAGATGTCTATTAGAGATCACTAGTGAAGAAGAAAAAAAGCCAATAGTCAATATATTTATTACAGTCAGAAGAAAAGTCAATCAAACATTATTCCTAAAATGAAAACCATAATGGGGCAAAATGTGGAACATAATAAAGGCATAACCACCAGGTGGAGGAGTAGTAATGAAGCAGACGTTTGTCACAGTTATAGAAGTCCAGGAAAACTTCTGTCTGAAACTGTCCGGAAAAGCAAATGCTATTAATTGAAGTTCAAATTGATGAGGTTGTCAACTGAGACCAGAGGAAGATTTGATGATGCGTCTTCTTACAATAAATGTGTGGTGAGACTGAACAAGAGTGACAATAATTTGGGGGCTGTTGGAACTTGGGGCTTTGTTTTGCTTTAAATCCAAATAAATGTATTTGTTTGGAAAGTCTACTTAGTTACCTAATACTTGGAAGGAAATATGCCAACACTTCACAGAAAGTCTCAGGACACGCCCACCATGAAAAGAGGGCATAATTTGTTCCTGTAAGGATTTTAGTTTGTTCTGTAATAGCTAGAGATTGGCTTAAAATCTCAGCTAGGAAGTATAATATCCCTTCCAATTTTGTTTAATTCCTGTTATCTTTGGTTATACAGCACTGCTTATTCTTCTTATTTGTACAAACTTGTAATATCTTTTCTTATTCTTGTTAAATATCTGACCTCAACAATTGCCTGATGCATTGAGTTCATCGTCTAATTACACAGTATATTGAAAAAAAAATCCCTTTTCAATTTCAAATTTGATGTCTTTCAGCATCTTAAACTGTCTCTTTCTTTGTGCATTATATGACTAGAAGAAAAGAAGCTTCTTAGTGCTTTCTGTATGCCACTTAGTATTTTGCATACATTTGTCATGTTTCCATCTCACTCTTTCCTGTACAAACAATTTAAATTGTTTCCTTTTCTTTTTCACATGAGAGCTTTTCCAAGACTTTTAATGGTTTCTCAGTGACTTTCTCAAATCTTTGTTGTGTGGTATATTTTACTGGGACAGTGACCCGTACTGAAGACAAAGCTGCACCACTTATTTGGTAGAAGATCCTTACACTGCTTTCTATATTCTTTATGCAGCATTTTGTTGGATGTTTCTTTTCATTTTTTCCAGAGCTGGATATTGAGCTGAGGCTTTTATTAAGTGTCCTACTTTGATGTCTAAGATCCTTTTATAAGATGTCGTGGTGGGAGGAAAGAAGATCTTCCCGATTGCTTTTGGATTTTATAGGATATTGAACAGAGGGGTGGGTTGCTTATGACCTCTAGACTGACTGAACTGTGCAATACAATACAAATGATTGGTATTTAGAAAAAATAAAAAGTGTGCTTTATATTATAAGTCACTTCAACTGTCAATAGCCATTATAGGCATCTTTTGTAGGAGGGCAAATATCTCTTCCCTTGATTACTGTCTTTCTTAAGGATCAGTAGTATTAGTTTACCATGGAAAAAAATTAATGCTCCAAAAATACATACATTGCTGTTTGATTGCTGAAGGAATTTAATTTGTTCATGTTCTGCTTTAAAAAGATACCGTATGAAAAATATTTTGCACATTCCTCTTTATATTTGAATTAATAATGAATAGTGAATTAAAAATGAACTTTTTTAATTCAATAATAGAATTGTAATGTCAATTTTACACATTCCCTCTTAACATAAAAAGTATAATATGCTTTTTCAGAATGAGAATAACTGTTTATATTCCTGAATGCACTACAGAAAATATTAGCAATGAGTTTTGCTAACACTGCATGGAAACACATTTAACACATTTCCTTTTAGATGTTTCCTTTTAGACTGCTCTTTTGAAAGCAATGTGTAAGTGGTCTTATGTGGTTTGGAAATGAGAATGTGGAGGAGTGTATTATGTTTATATAAGCTGTTATAGTCCTTTTGCAACAGAGAAGCATTACATCAAAATGGAGAGTAGTTTGAAGAATTCTAGGAAGCTCTTCAGTAGCAGAAAGCAAACTGGACACTGTGATTAATCTGGCCTCTTCTACTCCTACTTTTTTTTTTTTTTTTTCTAAAGCTACCATACCAGTGTTTGGAATTTAGTATTTCTTAAATGTCTCATGCTTAAACAGATTTCATATAAAGGCATGATTGTGCACTCATCATTTGAAATAGAATTTACTTCAACAGAAATTTTTTTTGAATAAGAGCAAAAGTGAATCTGGTATCTCTAGATATGTTATGCTCAGTCCTTATGATTTACTACTGCATTAATCCATGCAATAAATACTGTATAAATATTTTCAGTTTTCTTCAAGTTTATGCATTTAAACAAAAAAACAAACAAACAAAAAGCTGTTATCTAGGACCTCAGTGTCATTTTATTATTTTGTGTTGTTCTTTCTGGGTTACCTTTCACATGTACAAAAAAAAAAAAAACACGTTCATTTCTGTTGTTACATAAAGTGCTACAGAAGTTGTCTCCACTGAAGAAGGTCATGTTTTAGTAGATAAACTCTATTCCTTCCTTCCATTTTCAGAACTTAAGTGGAGAAAATCTGCATTTTTAACGATTCACTTCTCATATTTCCAGCATTCGGTAGGCTGGTAGGCAGCTTTCCAGAAGTATGACCACTGTCCAAGTTCATTTTGTTCAGTCTTTGTCTTTGTGGGAATGCTCAAAATGTTATCTTAGCAAGTATTTGGCATAGTAAGACTGTACGAAGGAAAACATATTTAGATTGAAAAATAGTGATTAGAAAAGCTAAACACAACTTGTTTGTTAGTGTGGTCTTATAAATAGCCTTACCACTACTAATTAATTTCAGTGATTGCAAGTTCTTACCTTCATGTTTGTCAGTTTGTCAAGTAGTATACTTTGTGAATAAGCCTGCTTACCATCTGTTGGTACGACCCCATCTTTCTAACTGTGAGAGAATGGTTATTATTGAGAGCAATATCCATGGCTTTCTGCACAGTCATAAGCCCTTTTCTGAAGGCTTTGAACATGTGTTCTTTGATGCAGCCTTGAAATGCTAAGTGACTTATAACACTGGGCTGTTCCCAAACTGTCATTTTCACAATTTTTCTCCAAGAAACTGCATCAAGATTAAGCTCTTAAAACAGGATGTTAACTGTATTATTACATCTATAGAGAATTATTATTGTAAAATATATCTGCAACTATGATCTGTTAGATGATGCAGATGAAAGACAAGTTACAGAAGGTCAGAGGAAAAACACAAGAAACCTGCAGCTGAGCATATTGTTTGTCCTCTGTTCCTTCTCCTCACTTTTTATGCCCATTTAGGTAGGCAGAGGAAATTATAAGACAATTTCAGTGACTGTGACATTTTAGGATCAACACAGCTATGCTTAGAGCTTTAAAGGGGGGATTGAAGATTCGTTACAGAGGTATCAGGACATTTATGTGAGGAAGATAATGGAGATAAATGAAATCTTGAAATGAAATCTCATGATTTAATGAGACAAAACTTACCATTTAGAATTTTGTTACACAGTGGCACAGTCCAACCCATCTGTGTAGGAAGAAGCTGTTAAAAAAAAAAAAAAAAAAAAAAAAGATAAGTTTTATCATTTAAATGTTTCTCTTGGTTTGTTATTATTTTTTTTTATTGTTCTCCTGCAGTAAGAACTACTGTTCTGAACCATCTGTGTGTGTGGGTGTATCAAGGATGCAGAATGAAAATATTGTATATGTGTTATGAACTCTTGCTGGCATATGCCTGTGCAGTTCCTTATCTAGAATGTTAGTATTTCCATTGTTCATTGAACTAGTTGAAAATTATATGACTGACTTTAATGTTTGGCACTTGAACAATTCCCATGGCTCTTCAAAAGATTTTGCTAGAAATTAAAAATAAGACAAAAAAAAAAAAAAAAGGACCTAGACCCCTCAGGTCATAGTCCTCCACAGACCCAATGAACAGTTTGAAGAAGGCAAAGAGCACTATCTACTTTTTTGAAGTTTTAAGTAGTACTTACTCATGTGAATACACTTTTGAGGTCAGTGAGTTTATTTGTAAGTGATACACAGAGGGAAAGAAGGATATAGTCAAGCCCATTACCTGTGTGTTCAAAACTTGAAAAAAAAAAAAAGAGAAAAAAAAACACAGTACTTGGACTTAAAGTGCAATATAATGAGATAATATTCTAATAATATATACCATTTTGCATTACAAATGTATTCCCTTTGTATTCATAAGATATCTGAAGCAAAACTAATGGTGCCATCACATTAGCATATGAATACCCAGGATATTCTTCTGTCTTGCATTTATTCTGATGTGTTAAGTAACATACTATTTTTTTCTGTAGGGCATCTAGCTGAGTGTTCTAATTGAGGAGTACTTTTTTTTAAAAAGATCTCTTGATCATCTCCACTTGGTATGCTTTGCTTCATGTGACAGAGCAGTCTCAGAGCACAAGAACTGGTTCCCTTTGACATGAATACAATCTAAATGAAAATAGTCTGGTATTTTAAAGTCTTCATGTTGCACACTAGGAAATGACACAAAACACTTCATTGAGTAAATAGACATTCAGTCCGCCCAACCAGCCTAGATCTTGTGCAGAAAAAGTATTCTTGAGATATAGGTAATGCAGATACTGTGCCTTCCACTCTAATCATCATACTCTATGAATACAAGTCTGTAAGGCCACTCTAATTTCAAAAACAGACATAACCTGGTAGTGCCTGGTTTTTGTTTGTTTGTTTTTCAGGTACACTGAAAGCAATGAATAGATCATGTTTCTCACCCTTCTTTATGACTTCTTAATGTCTGATGACATGAGAGGCACATGAGCTTCTGTAGTCTCATGATCTGAAATCTGGTCTGATTTTTTTTTTTTTTTAATCCTTTTGTGTGACTGTTTGATACCAGCAAAGGTGATGGTGCTCATCATCCCGGAGAATATATCCCCATCAGATTCAGTAGCCTACCTTCAGTATGAATCATTTCACCAGGCTCGTTCAGAAGTGTACAAACCAACCACAAGAAGGGACTTTTGGTGGGATCAGACCACTGAGTTGGCCCTCATGTAGCCACACATCAGCCAGGTCCTAGAGAAGTGGGGACACAGGAATGTGTTTAAGAGGTGGAATTGCTGGCTCTCCATTTTCATCAGATTAGATAAGTGTTGTAACTGATGCACTCCTTTTTGGTCACTGCTGTTAATAAAATAGATACTCCTCAGGCTTAACAGAGGAGTTTATTATTTCTCGCAGCAATACTTTTCCGGCCAAATGCTCAGATCTTCTGTGACTCTTGAGTGTCAATAGTTACTTATATCTCAGAAGGACTTTTGCTGCTATCTGTTCTCTGGTATGAATGAGCAAAAATGATAGCATTCAGCAATTGCCTTCTTACTAGAAAGGATTGGAAGTGAATTATGTTGCATGGTCCAGATGTATATGCTCTGCACCATAAAAGAGAACTTAAATTGATGTTTTCCTGCAAATAATAGATAAGTTTTGTAATCAGATTTGTCAGATTTCATTTTATCCTCAACACAAGTCAATAACACATCTGGTTCTGAAAATGTGTTCTATTTGATTCTTTCTTGTATTTAATGCTATATGCTGTATATGCATACAATTATTACTCTTATACAGTTTTTGGAGTTTAATTAAAATAATTAAAAAATACCAGTAGTTTTCATTGTTAGAGGAGAATTCATCTGCTCGTTTCTCATCCATTCCATTTTCTATGTCAATAATACTTAATATGAAAGCAGCATCAAAATAACACTGCAGGAGAAGACATACATCAAAATGAGGAAGAAAGTTAAAGGTGAAAACAGTATTTGTATCTGACTTCATTATTTCAGTGCTCTAACAGAGAAAAAGCCTCCTTCCATTTCTCAGCAAAAATAGAGATGTTTTACAGGGATCGTACCACCCATGGCCCTAAGTTCTGTGCAGATGATATCTATAAATTGGAAGGCAACTCCCTGGCTGCTGAACATAGACTTGGAAAATGCATTAACTTATTTGGATAGGTCTTATTTGATGTGAGCATCAAACAAAGGTGACGTTGCCTGGCCCAGCTGCCATAAATACAAGTTCCAGTTCTGAGAGGTGTTTTTAGTTGCAGGACATACAGCTCTGTGAATCATGAAGAACAACGAGGGTGTATGTGCCCTGAGATAATAGAGCTGTCAGTCAGGTGGAGACAGAAGTCACTGGAAAAATACTTCCCTTCGTATACTAGACAGTCATTGATGATGTGAGGAAACTGCTCCATGCACATATTGCATCTTTTATGGTGAAGGAGATTGGTTTTTCTTTTTTTCACCTTGGCAGAGGAAGAAAGGAAATTTCTGTAGTCTAAAGATAAAATGATGGGTAAGTTGTTAATAGTGCTGTGAATTTGACACAGATAATACAGTCTACATAGATATCATGTATACTTTATATATACATATAACAGAATCATAGGTTGGAAGGGACCTCTGGAGATCATCTGTTCAACCTCCCTGCTCAGGCAAGGACAACCAGAGTGCTTTGCTCCAGGAGCAGGTTTTTATATCTCCCCAGATCTCTCTCCAGCATGTCCATGTCTTTTTCGTACTGGGAAGCCCAGAACTGGACACAGCACTGCAGGTATGTCTTACCAGTGCAGAGCAGAGGGAAGGATCACCCTCCTTGATCTGCTGACAGCAGTCCTCTAAATTCAGCCCAGGCAGCTGCTGGCCTCCTCTGCCATGAAGGTGAGCTTCTGGCTTGTGGTTAGCTTTTGTCCACCAGCACCCCAAAGCCCATCTTTGCACACACAGCTGCTTTCTGCCTGGTTGGCTCCTGGCACGTAGTGGTGGTGCATGGGACTGTTTGTCCCCAAGGCCCAGACCTGCCAGTTCGTTTGTGGAACCTCACAGGATTCCTGGCAGCGCAATTCCCCAGTCTGTTCAGGCCCTCTTCATGGCAGCACATGCACTGTGTGGAGCAGTCACTGCTCCCCGTGCTCTGTCACCAATTTGTTGAGGGTACACTGGGACACAACACTTGGGTCACTAACTGAATGTTGTTGGACCCAGGAGCAAGCTCCCAGGTACACCACCAGTGACTTGCCTCCAGGTAGACTTTGTGCCACTGATCACAACCCTCAGGGCCTGGCCATTCAGCAGGTTTTTAGTCCACCTCACTGTCCCCTTACCTAAAGTGTACACTGTCAGCTTCTATATGAGGATGCTATGGGACAAAGCATTAAAAGCCTTAATAAAGTTGAGGTAAACAACATCTACCTTGTGTCCACCACACCAGTGTCATCATTGTATAAGGCTATATGTGGTTGGTCAAGCATGATATCCTTCTCATAAATCTATGATGTCTGCTTTGCATGGCCTTCTTGTCCTTCATCTACCTGGAAATGCTTTTCAGGATGACTTTTTCAACTAATTTCCTTCAAGTGGGAAGTTCTGGGGCTGAACTGAAGAGAAGTTGACTTTTCTGTAGTTGCACATTTCCTTCCTCTTGCTTTTTCTTCTGTAAGGAAGTTTATACTCATTATAGGGTTAAAGATTTCCATATAGTTATAGTAAACATATTGATATGTTACAGTTGTTAGTGTCCAAGGCAATTGGTTAATCCTGTAATAAATCATCCATTCATTTATTAACCTTCCATATAAATGATTTATAAGTGTGCTCTTGATCTATTAAATATCCATGTATAATAAATGTAATAAAATGTAGTACTCCACAGTCACTAGAGGGGAAAAAAGATCAGAGAACTATGCCAAAAGATCTTTCTCCTATTTACAGCGTTAGATTGTTTCTGTGATTAACAATAAGAATAATAACTAGTAAAACATACATAGACTTATGAGTAGCTAGGAGTATGAATTTGTAAGGTTAATACCTTACAAGTGGATGTAAGGTTAATACCTTATAAAGGGTAGAAATATCCTTTGTGCAGCACCTTTATGTGCAGTTATACAACATAAGTGCACTGATATCCCATAGACAACTTTTTATGAGTGCAGAAATGAGATGTTTATAGATTGGCCCTACAGCAATACACTTCACTCCATGTATATCTGATGTAGACATGTGAACAAATATAACTATCTGTTTTAGTCATTTTCAAACATCCATCATTATATCCTCCAGGACTTGTTAGTCTAATAACATTTTTCAAAACACATGCCATAACTGTACTCATGTGAAAAAAAGATGTATCCCTAAATTCACTCTATTCTGAAATGCATAAACTGCATTTTGAAAAAAAAAAAAACACAATTGTCTTGGGATATGTGAAAGGAAGTATGCTCATTTACTGATCTGGGTTCAAACTTGCTTTGAAAATAATTGGACTTCTTGCCATGAGACCACCTACACTTATTTGTACAAATAATCCAGTTAGAGGTTATAGTCTAATGCTGGATAATTTTTTACCCATGAAGCTGACAATCTAGGAACATTGCTTGTAATAAAGACTGATTCACAACTTGATTCACTTTTCAGTATGATTTTTTTCTTCAACTACAGCTAAAATGATTTGTCAAATGCTTGTTATAAATAGCCAATTATTTTA